CCGGGTGGGGGCGGGGGTTGGGGGATTGGAGGGGCTGCTGGGTCAACAGGCGGGGAGTTGATGAATCTGTGCAGGGGTGGGTTGTCCATCCAGGGGTGGGGAAGTCATTTTATAATATAAAAATAGCCTAATTAGGGTGAGAGAGTAGGAAAAGCATAGCTCTGAGGCAGGGGCATTTGGTAGATCAGACTAACCCGTGCGTGATCTAACTTCATGCACCTCCCTAGTTAGATTGGGCCAGCCATTTTTTTGCCCAATTTAGCCTCCCCTAACATCTGTGTAGACTAGTTCTTAGACTGACTTAACTCTACTTAGGTTGATCTAAGTGTAATATCTGCACATACCCTATGTGTCTGGTCTGCTTTAGGGCTTCTGTGTGGTTAAGCTCTTGGGGATGAGATACTCCAGTGCCAAATCCATTTTCAAACATAACTTCAGTGGATAAAGGAAGAAAGTTATGCTGCAGTGATGAAAACATTTCAAGAACACACAAGTACAGTGCCACATGGCAGTTTGTCAGGCTGTCTGTTCATAAAGGCCTTGCTTTAAATAAGACAAAAGGGGAAAGATTTAGAAGACATTAGCTAAGGTCTGGGATTAAAATAAGGTTTGCTGTGACAATGACTGTGTAAAAGGGTAGCTTATTCAGCAGTTCTGCTCCCACTGTGTCTGTCATGTCTATCTGCCCTCTTTAAGTAATGGAAATTTCTATTGCTTTCTTCTGTGTGGAGCCAACACAGCTGAGGGATCCAGTGCGATTTTATTCCCTCCTTGTATCATTTGCTAGATCATTTAATAAATTCTAATAATTTTCACCTGTACAAACCACATTGCCTTCAATGCACTGACAGAGGTGCCAAGCAGGGCATAATGGTGGCTGGCAAAATCTTTATTACTGGTGATGTGCAATAACGGTAAAGTGCAATTTGACTCTTGGGTACTAGATTGCTTGCTGATTTGACATTTGGAAGAACAGGTGTCTGTTACTTGTTAGCCAAGTAGATTTGATATGGAAATTGAGAGGTGCTACATGTAGCTTCAATTTCTAGTAACTCTTCAGAGTCCAGCACCATTTGCACAGGGGCAGAAGAAGTAAAAGCACTTAAAAAAACAAAAACAAAAAACAAAAAAAACCCCCTGCAAGTAAGATTGTTGGTAAGGAGACGGGTGGGCAGGGTAATATGACTGTAGTTCTTCTTTAAAACAACAGCTGGAAGTCAGTCGCAGTTGCTAGTGGCCCAGCATTGCTGTCTCATCTACGTTTGGTGTCCTGGATAAAACAGATAGTTGCCATTAGTAGGCAGGCATCTGTTGGAAAATCACCAGGTAGCACACATTGATTGACACCTTTCGGAAATTTCAGCAGCAAGGCCTCATGGGTTGAACTGCTCTGCAAAGTGATCTGGCCGGTTTAGCTTTTGGATATGGTTCTTCAAAGTGATGGCTAAGACATTTAAGTAGAAAATTCAATCAAGGAGCTTGAGCTTCTGCTGTCCCTGCTGTATGTCTCCTGGGATTGGATCCTGATTTTAGATTTATGAGTGACAGCAACTCATGCATAGGTTACCTAACACTTTTTATGTATCAACCTCAAACGTGTATGTTTGC